CATCTGTTGGTGAGTTATAGTAACAGCATTTACAAATGACAACGGTGACTTTAAAAAAAGGGATATTTAGCATTAGTCTCCCAGTATTTACGCCAGTCTTGAAGGTTTGCTCCCTTTGCACTCTGATTAATGCGGGTCAGTCCAACTGCAAAACCTCCATAATCCACATTCGACCAGCAATAGAATTGTAATCTGTCCAGAGTGTTTCTCTGATTTAAAAAAAAAGTATATTAACTACACACACACATTAAAAGTTTTGATCTCATGACAGTGTTTTGTCAAAATTAGAAGCACTTTTATTTTAATTCATTCTAAAATTACCATCATTGCCACATTTGACAGCAATCCATCCGAATGTCTAGACATTCCACTTAGAAGCACAAATGGCAGCCTGATTGTGAGCAGAGATCAAAGTCTGTAGGATTAATCCTCTGGAAACCAATAGCTGTTGATATATTTAAGTCTGAAGGAAGCGATGGATCAAACCAAAGACAATAAAGCCAGTGGTACCTCTTTGTGGAATGAGTGTGTGCTGTTTGCAGGCTGTCCAAGGCTGCAGACATGGACCACCACTGGGTGGCCAAGGCCTGGTTAAGCGACGTGGGCTTGCCGCAGTACTCCCAGGCCTTTCACAACCACTTGGTAGACGGGCGTCTGCTGAACTCCCTGACGCGCCGCGACCTTGAGCGCCACCTTAACATCACCAAGACGTTCCACCAGGTCAGCTTGCTGCTGGGCATCGAACTGCTGCACTTACTCAATTTTGACAAGGAGGTAAGAGAGTTTCAGCCCCGTGTTCACAGGCAGAGGACAACAGGGACTAGATGCGCTAGATGGAAACAGATTTGTTTAATCGGTTTCCAGGCGCTGCAGGCTCGCCGGGTCCAGTGTGAGCACCAGAACGTGGACCCGTTGGTGTGGACCTCTCATCGGGTGGTGAAATGGATCAAAGATATTGACTTGAAGGTGAGGACAGAGAGAGACGGAATACAACTTGAAAACAATCAGAGGTTTCACCTCTATCTAAAAATATATATTATCCTTCTTAGACTGAAATATTGAAACAAAAGTTGAAGCCACAGTCTCTGCAACAAAACCAATAGTTGGATCAAAGAGCGCGATAGAGGGGTTTTGTTAATGTATCTCTAAGCTCTCTAGGCCGATGCTGCAATATGGATATTCCAAGTCAACATTGTCTTGACATGGGACAACATGTTGCCACATTCAGGGTGTGTAGAGACACGGCTGACCTGGACCTGTGCTGACATCAACAAATAAAGCATGTTGTTTGTCTAACATCCTATCAACAACCTTATTTTCATCCTCCCATCCAGGAGTTTGCTGAAAGTCTTCTAAGCAGTGGAGTTCACGGCGCCGTCATGGTGCTTGACCCCACTTTTAACATTGACGCCATGGCAACCGCCCTGGGGATACCTAACAACAAGCACATGATTCGCCGACACCTTGTGGAGGAGATGAAAACCCTGATCGGCCCGGCCAGGTGAGAGGAGACGTTAACCGGCGGCTCTACTTACTGTAGAATGTGTTGGTGTGTAAATCGAATAGATACGAGGTGCGTAACCTGATCGCTGATGACACATTTGCTTTTAAGCGTCGCACAAAGGTGCGTTCTGTTAAATACTACCCGAGGCCACTGAACCCAACACCCTGCTTCAACCCGTGTTCCCGTATCCAGGACGGACACCAAGCAGGACTACGAGCACCTGGGCCTGGGAACCCCGCCGCCCCTCCTCCGCCAGAACTCGGCTGGCAGACCGCCCAGCTCCACCGGCCGCCACACGGATGACGAAGGCTCGCTGAGGAGGAGGGCTGTGAAGGTGTGTGTGTGTGTCTGTGTGGCGGGGGGGTTGGGCGGGGGGGGCTATGTTTTGAAATAACGGGTTTTACATCGCATGCGTACAAGAATAATTAGACCATCTGTGTGGCGGCAGGCTGAGTACATTTTTTTGTTTGTGTGTTTAAAAACGAATGCGCGTTTCAGCCTCCAACAGGGTTCAGCCCCAAGACCCGCAATGGGCGAGACCTGTGTTGCCACAGCAGCAACGGCTCCCTGCCCCGGGATGTTCGGGACCCGACTCCGCCCAGATCCGAGGGGAGCCCGATCCACGGTTACACCAGCGTCGAGGTCACCAACGTTTGAGGTCACCGCGGTGCGACGAAAACACCCAGTTGTGAGCTCCGTCACTACTGAGTCTACACCCGTTTGTCATGTGTACGTGGACATGAGGTGGTTCTTTTCTCCAGACATAAGAACTTACAAGACAGATTGCACTTTTGAAAAGAAGACAGGATTCTTTTTTTACAAGTCTCCTGGTTTAAGAATATTTGTATTGTGTCGCAGGTGGTATTTTGATGTTTGAGAGGGCAGCGATGCCTCTCCCCTGAATCCAGAGATGCAGGACGCAAGCTAAATAAGTATTTTTCTATTTTTTTTTGTGTAAATGGTTCTCCTTGAATCAGGATTTGACATAGCAATTTGTTTTTGTTGACTGGTTGCTAGTGATTGTCTCTTTTTGAGGAAAATGAGATGTTGGGGTTTGTATAATACAGGGTACTTGATGATAAAATGAAAAAAATGAAATGAAAAAGTTTAATATCAATATAAATTGTTCTTGTTTCATGCAGTTCTGCCGTTTGTAATGCCTTGTCAGTGTAGCTGAGGACAGTGGAGAAAAAGACTTGAATTTTAAATTCTAGAGTTTATGTTTGATAGCGTTTTTTTTTTCATCATAACACAGTTGTGTCTAAACAAATGTAGCACCCTCTCCTGATGTTTTATACTGTGAAGTAAATGTGGGGAAAATATTTGAACAAATAGAATATGACTGCAGAGTGGTACGTCCACAGAAGCCCCGGGGCTGAAAGATGTGGGGATGCATATATGTAAAAATGAATTAATAAAAGTTCCTTTTACTAAAATAAAGACGGTATCTTTTATTTGCTATTTCAATGGAAACCACTATATGTAAAGCAAACAGGATTTAAATAAGTGGCAAACTTATTAGCAAACCCTGCAACTCTGTGTGCTCAAGAGAACTTTTGACTGTGTGATCAACAGAAAATTAACGATAAAAATGTTAGGAGAGTTAAAGCGAGAGAATGTTCCTGATTGAACTCATTTGCGTGTGTGGGGTTCATCTCCTCCCCTGTAATGTGGATGAGGGTCCAAACTAAACTCCATGATTGCAGTTGTGTGTTAATACCGACTCTGTACTCTTGATTACTTTGGTGAGTCACTCAGGTAATTTCCTCTCTTTTTGCTCCCTGTGAAAAGAGGTATTTCAAGTTTCTCTGTTTAGACCCCGGGGCAACGTGGTGCAATTCTGTCCTCTCACAGTGACTCAAACCACTGTGGCAATCTCAGTATGACACAGCAACAAGATATACTGCTTCCTGTCCGTAATCCACCCGTGGCTGGAAGAAAACCAGCCTTTTTACCGCATGACATCGATCTACGTACTCTGAGATCTGAGAGGTGTGACGAAGGCAGGTGTGTCAGGCGAAGTTTCCCTTGAGAAAAGTTAATGTACACCTGAGGCAATGAAGCCTTAAATGATTAAATCCAGCTTATCTATATGCCACTGTAACACGCATCACTTCATTTCATAAAGGCTGACAGATATACGGCTTACTGATGTAATCAAGGCTTGTTCACTGTGTGTGTGTGTGTGTGTGTGTGTGTGTGTGTGTTTGAATGTGAGTGTCAACAACGGATCGGGACAAAAGCTTAAGAGGCAGAATACTACCAAGAGTCCATAAACACCGGGCTGCTTTACTGAGAAGGAGCATAGCAATGAGCGGCCAGGGTTTGCGATTACTTTTGTCATTATTGTGAAATAGTCCAGTTGTAGCAGACAAATATAGATGAGGACACTGGGACAAAGTGGGACCAAGCGGACCCCACTTTTAGTGTGTGAGTATCTTGCAAGATACAAATCAGATATACACAAGTAAAGAAAACACAAAGGTCTGTATTGCGTAAATGACTGGTCCTGCTTGCGCTTCGTGTCCTAAGGGCGCAAAATGAGTGGCGTTTGGTAATTGTGAATTTACAAAGAGGAAGTGAGATTCAGGTCAGCTGGAGTAGGCGTGATATGCAGTTACACTCATGCACTTGTCATTTGTTTACCTCCCTGGGAAGTAGTGCCTACGCAATACATGAGTGGTGGTCAGTCATTCATGATGTGAGAAATGCTCCACCAAGAGATTTATGCTAATCTGGATAACTGTAATGAACAACATATCCCACTTTACTACATTTATTTTGCAGCTGTAATTTTGATTAGTTGTGCAAATTACGATGAAACACATTAACACTTTAATCTGAAACGGGCCATTCTGCATAATGAATAATTTGGTAAGTATATATTGATGCTTTAAAATGAGCAATAACTAACTAGGAATTCCTAAGGAGTTAATTTTACCAAAAAACCACTACTTATTCCATTCTGGCTTTCCAGAGAAATTAACTACGATAGTTTTGTTCGTGTTGACACGATTGTTGCTGATCTTAATTTTAAACTCAATATTAATAATTTATTATTGAAACGCATTTTCTTTGTTTGCTCCCGGCAGCAGACAATTATTTTGTAATTACTTTTTATTTTTTTACATTTTTGTTTTTGCATATGCAGAACCCCCCCCCCCTCCCCCGACACACACACACGCATGCGCATGCGCACACATTCTTTGTCCCCATCCATCAACCTCCCCGAGAGCGAAGGAGTTAACCAGAGAGCGCAGCCGCGAGCCTCCTCCCTGCTGTCGCTCTCTGTCCACAGCACCATCCGTCTCCGCGAAAGTTCCTCACGCCGAGACGCTGTCCACCGAATATCGACACGCGCGCGCACGCACGCACACGCCGCTCTCCGTTTTTCGGCGGAGTTTGGAATTAAGCGTCACACCTTCCCCTCCGGCCTTGAGAAAAAGAAGAGGAAGAAGAGTCTCGTAACGTCCAAAAACGATGCAAAGGTGAGTGCAAACCCGCCTCACTCGTCCGCCGCCTCCTCTCTCGTTTGTAAACATATTTTGTATCGTTGAAACGCAACTAAAAGTTACTTCGTAAGCAGACACGTTAAAAGTAGCGGAAGTTTGTATTTGTTTCGCTGCTACGGGAGCCGCTGGGGGTCAACTCTGTGCGGGGAGCGACCCTCCGCCCTGAGCCCGAAGTCCGGAGCACAACGGACCGCCAGCGAAGCGACGGTACCTCGGAGGAGCGTGTAACCGGCACACACGGCCTTCCCACCGGGTAGAGGCAGTCCGCTGAGCGGGACATTTGATGGGAGGACACTCTGAGTAGAAAGAGCAAATTGTCTCCAGCTACTGGTAAAAACGCGCAGAGTGAACGACGGGCTGACGTCTTCATTCTTTCTTTCTTTTGGGAAAGACTTTTTGTTTTTATGAGCCGGAATGTCCATGTATTCCTCGACCCACTTCACTGGGAAATACAACCTGAAGCTGGGGCCGTAACACGTCACACACACACACACACACACACACACAAGATGAAACACATCTTCACGTGTTGTTCTGCATTGCACAACAGGCTCGTTGCCGTGTGTGTACGTGTTTGTGTTGATGTGTGTAGGACACTAACGGGACACTTTCTGTGTCCTGCTGCCACGATGAGTAGCCTTCACCCTCATGCCACGCATTCTTTAGCCATAGGCTTCCCCCACATACAAGCAGGGTACACACACACACACACACACACTCCCAGCTGGTCCGGGCACGTTTGCAAGAGAACACACTGACATATTTGTGTGGCTGTATCAAATCGTCACAGAGGTAATATAATATCTACATAGACATTAAATTCCTTTTGCATTAGTTACTTTGCTGCATTCTGTTTGCTTCCTTCAGTCAACTCAACAAACGGGTCTCCGGTACTCTTTACTTCTCCAGGAACTCGTTTGATCCCTGTATATTGCACATATTATGTGTATATTATAGTGTGTCATTTCTTTAATGAGATTATTCGAGGCAGATCTAGGTTTTATTTGTTTGTAACAACTGGCCTGATGTTGTTGCACGTCGTTGGAAATGAGAACCAGTTCTCTCACTTAACTGGTCAGATAACGGTGAAGTCAAACAAAATAAATACTGTTCCCGGCGGGCAAATATAAAATAGTTACACGGCCGGCTGACCTTGTGATCGATGGCATCTCACAAGTAGGCAGCACGTGTGTGCTGATCGGTCGCTGTTATTGCGATTCGGAGAATCCTTTTAGAGCTCCATCGATACTAAACCGATGTTTCCTCTCGTGTTTTGGAATTGGGACTTCCACAGAAGCCCGTAATGATCAATAAATATTGAGAAAAAGACTCTTATATTTATAAAAGCCAAGATATATTTTACAGTGTGCTTATCTGCACCAGCAATGCGTTTGCATTGTGTAACTAGTGACTTTGAAAGGCAGGTGTTCCCTCAGTTTTTACTATGCAGCGCACCCATTCTCAGAAGCCTCTGCAAAGGTAAGAACAAACATCTTAACTGGTTCGCTCTGACCGCTGAGGCCAGCGCCCCCCTCCCCCCTCAGATGCCTGCTCAGACATTCACTGTCTTTTAAGTATGAGTATTATTTCACAGACATTCTAGAAACTACGTTAAACATTATACGTCTTGTTGTGCGTGTTACTCATTGCTGCGTGTCACTGTGTTTCTCAGTGTGCGTCCGACCTCACATGCCTTTTTCCCTCTACAGGTTTTGACTTCACCCGAGTGCGTAGGTTTGTGAACTGACAACATGCGTTCCAGTGGGGACGGACCAGTCAGCCCCCCTGGCCCACAAGGCACGGGCAGCAGCAACAACAACAACAACAACAACAACAACAACAGCAGCTATGAAAGCAGTGGAAACTCTGGTTCCCAGTATGCGCTGTGTGCTCTGGGCGTCGGACTGGTGGCCCTCGGTATCGTGATGATCGTGTGGAGCGTGGTGCCGCCAGACGCCGGGAACAACAGCAACAACAGCAGCAGCAGCGGCGGCGGTTCGGGAGGCGACGGTAGTACGAGTGGGAGGAAGCATAAAGCGTCCTCCGTGGCCTTTGTCCTGGTGGGGTCCGGGGTCGCCATGCTGCTGCTGTCTTTGTGTCTGGGAATGAGGAACAAACAGCGGGAGCAGCAGAGGCTTCAGGAGGCCCAGAGCCGCGGAGGCGCGGCGACGAGGGAGCAGGAGGAAAGACAAACGTGAGTCCCATCGCAACAACGTTCGCTTTGCTGGTGGATTTGTTTCAATTATTGTTTTGTAAAATGTCGTCGACAGTTTTTTTTTTTCTCTTTCTGTATTTACGACATGGAGTCCATTCTGTCGCACGGCAGCACGCAGGATTTGTGGTTAAACAGGCGACGGACGCACTGTGCAAAGTCCAAACATTTTAGAAGAATCAATCATCAATCACGACTGTATTTTTTTTGTTTTGTTGTTGTTGTGAATGTGTGCAGTGCCGAGGAACAAGCCCAACGTTACGCCGTACCCAGCTATGAAGAGGCGGTCTGCAGCGGCCAGTACCCCATCAGCCAGAGCAACCTGCGCCCCAGCAGCTCCCAGCTACCGTCCTACGACGACCTGGTCCAAGTCGACGGTGTGCAGTACGAATTCGAGGGGTCGGAGGTCACGACGACCGGAGCGCCGCCGCCCGCTCCGGCTCCGCTGGCGCCCGCCGCTGCTGCCTCCGCGTCGAACCGCAGAGCCGGGAAAACGAGCCGCAAGCTCCTCCCCATCAAGATCCGCAGGATCAAATCGGAGAAGCTGCACATGAAAAACCTTGACAACTCTCAGCCAGCTACTGGGTTCAGTGTAGAGCCGCTCACCCCGCCCCCCCAGTACGAAGACAAAGTGCCTCCCATTTAAGAGCGGACCCATCGTGTTCAAAACAATCTACTGAAATCCCTGGAATCCTCCACCATCACCTTCCTGTGGATCTGTGTGACCCCATTGTGGGTCCAACTTTCTACCACCAGCGCTTTACTGGACGGAGGCTCTGACACCGTTTTATTATGTTGAGCGAGTCTACTAGTTTTTTTTGTTTTGTTTTTAGTAGCTTTTGGTTCAGGATATTTTCTTTGGAAAAGCCGAAACACGGCACTGTTCTTCCCTTCTTCCCACAAACTAGGATGGGCAGCAGGTGTCTACTTATGACCCAGATAAAACAAATCTTTGTTAGCACTTATCATCTCTAGCTCCCGTGACTCTTGGCCGTAGGCACTCTGCCACAAACCCAATGGAAATAGTATTAGAATTCTAACAAAATAGAACTTGCGTTATCTTACTTAGAATATCAAGGCACTCAAACATTACTGTCCTGTATAGTAAAGTATATTTAATAGAAAAATCCAGTTTCGGGATTCTCCACAGAAAGACTAAAGGCGACTTGAGGCGTGTTTATAAAGTGGATGGATTTATTGTTGGTTGTATCATTGAACGCGCCGTGACGTGGTAACATTACTTCCTTACAGCTGTGTTGAGAAACTGTGACCCACAAGGGCTGAAAGACACTTGTGAGATGCGTTATCTTATGGATTTGTCATGGATGACGTGTTTGCAAACAGCTCGGCTTACTGGCGAATGAGATTAGCACCCCACTCCAGCCAGCCGGTCAATGAAAGTCCACACTTTTTTGAATCACAGCAGCTTCTTCAGCTCACTATTGACCTGTTTACTTTGCCCAGTGTTGCTAGACGGACTCCGGCGTGCAGTCACAAGGTGCAACCCCCCCCCCCCCCGTACATTCAGAAGCGTAGACCTGTTGCATGTCAGTTGGGGGGAGAAAAGGCGGGAGGGTTTTCCGATGGATTCATACGCACTGGTGCGGCGCCAATGGTCACCATTAGGTTTGAGAAATCAATTTCTCAGAAGTTGACGATGTGATTTCATGGAATGTTTAAAGAGTTGCTAATGCTAACTGACCGCAGCAAACTGAGTTTGCCCTGCGGCCGTACACACTAAAGTGTGCAGTTAGGAGCCTTCGTGTCGTGTGACTGAACCTGAGCTCCTGCGTCGCGCTTCTTGCTTTTCGCTCCTGTGGTGAGGAAGGAGCCCAGCGGTAAAAGGGGCCCTTGTGAATAGTTGAATGTCACAAAGACAACCAGAGCTGCAAAAGGCCCCCTCGCTCCAGACGACCCGCAGACAGACCCTTTGACAGTAACCGTAACCGTCGCTCACCCGCCGGCCCCATCGGGCTTTTCTCCAACCGAGGCTCGACTCGCGGCCCCCTGTCTCCGCTCGGAAAGTATGAGGGGAAAGAGCAGAGAACGGAGCCAGCTGTTCAGGGATCTGGTTTGAGGTCTAGCACCATGCGCGGTTTACTGTGGTCTTCTTCGCGTCGGACTTGTTTTTCAACAGCTGAAGCCAAGTGGCAGGAGGATTTTTTTCTGAAGACGCACAACTCATTTCGCTTTGACGTCGTCGGCCAGTTGTTCTCCGCGTTGTGGGGGAGGTCGTCTGGGTTCATGCAGGGGAAGCTACCGGGCCACGTTTTATATGTTTTCAGGTTCATGTACATTTCACGTCTCTATTCCTCTGACCTTGTCTCCAAAGTGGCAAGCTGTCATGTATTGTATTCATTCTTCATTGTGTCGGTCATGCTCAGTACCACAAGGCAATGTACCTCATTTGCAAAGGACCAGTTGACTACATGGTTGATTTTTTTTATTTTTTATTTTGTAGTCAAAATGTTTTACATTGATGAAATGAGTGTTTCGATTACGCGGTCACTTTCTGTTTTACTTTGTGTCCAAAAAACATGCTGTTTGTTCATTTATTGATTTCATTTTATTACTTAAGTCTGTATTTCTTCTACTGTGAAAATGTACTATTCTATTATAATTTTGTTTGTGGAAAAAAACGTTGTCTCATGAATATTTATAAGAAATTAAAGTAAGTATTTTTAACTAACCCAGTGTTTAAGAGCTATCATTACTGAAAAGCTGTATGTGTAATTACATATTGACCTGTGTAATAACTCCCCGAATGTACACATCTTCACATTTTGGTACTGTTCAGTCGGGATTTATTGATGCAGCGGCTGTAGCGAAAGCTGACAAACATCTGGATGCCGTACATCTGCTGAGGAGCTTCATGGTTTAATTAACACCAATGGCTGCGCTGGTACACAGCGCAAACAAGTTTTACTGGGCTCTAAAACATGGAGAAGAAAGAGAACACGTTCTAAATCCTCAATCTTCTTGTTGCTTGTTGCACTTGGACGGCTCCTCAGTTGTTGGTCATGGCCTGCGGAGTAAACAATAGCAACACGTTTTTTATACACTTCCTGTTTTTGGAAGCCGAGGCTTTTGTTCGCTCCGGGTTCCATTGTTCGTACCTGACGATCATAAAATGAAATGTCCCTGACCGTGTGGATCCAGTCGACATAGGAGCTGACTTGTGTGAAGACCGTGGGCTTCTGCAGGACGTCGCAGCCCTCGCCGGAACCGAAGCTCACCACGCCGTGGACGTCCCAGGAGCCATCGGGGTTCTGGCAATTCAGGGGGCCACCAGAGTCACCCTGCAGGTCAACACACACACACACACTTTGTTGGCTTGCAGCATATGCACGGACACTAAGAAGGAATAGCTACTGCGATTTAGCCATGCACAATTTCCATTTTTCAGACTTTCCTTCTCTTCTCCCTTGAGTCTTTTATGCTGGATGTAAACGTGCAGGAGCTCACGTTGCAGCCTGCAGCCACGCCGTCGCCTCCCGCGCAGACCATCTTGTCTGTGGCCAGGACGCTCCACCAGTCGGGCTGTGAGCAGGTATCGCGGCCAACAACCGGGAGGAGAGCCTGCTGCAAGAAGTCAGCCGGAGGGCCGCTGGCTGCGGGGGAGAAGTGGGCTTAACTCGGGTAGGAAACGACGTCTTCTCTTGAGGGAGGTTTCCTCGGGGGGGCAGATGGAGTGCTGGAGGGAGCTCGTTTCTCCGGTTGTAGATGTTGTCCAGGGTAGAGACTTATGTTGCTGTAGACTGGATGCCATTTGAGGCATTTAGCTGCAGGAGGGCTGTCTCAATTATGCTGGATTAAACGCAGCACTTCTATTTATAGTTGTGTGCTGTATAACACAGTCTAGTAAAATACTGGGCGCTTACACGAGTATCATATGCTGGACTGATAAGAGGCTGCAAATCAAGCTTTCTGTCAGATCTTACTACATCTGTGCCAGAGACGGTAGGCAGAGGAAAAATCAAGGCAGTTCCAACATAATATTAAACCTAGTGTGTTTTTCCTTTTTTTTTTTTTTTTTTTAAACAACAGAGTAAACTGAATTTCCCATTATTTAAAATCAGATTCATCCTGAAAGTAAAGGTCAGAACACCTCATTCAAGTGAGAACAAGCAGCAAGAACTTCCAAACTAAAGCTGTGCTTTCAACAGGATGAAACATCTACCTCCAGCCATTCATTCATAGACAAAAACTATACTTCTCTTTTCATGCCATTTACATCTAGACATGACCATAGATTGAATTGGTAGCTCAGGAAACGACCCCCCCCCCAGACGTGGTTAGGTCTTAGCTGATGGACGCAGGGCCAAAATATCCTTTGCGCAGACACCGACTCGACAGCGGTGGACTGAGCCCAGGGTGACTCACGGGGAGGGATGAGTTTGGCTCAGACGCGCTCACTCACTGGAGAGTCGACCCCAGCCGGTGACGTAGCAGGGAGCCCCGTGGGGGAGGACGACGCCCCGGTCTGGCACGCAGGCGGACATCAGCGTGTCGGAGAAGGTGACGGGGGAGGACAGCTTGATCAGCGCGATGTCGTTACTGCAAAAGAGGAAACGCACACACCCAGTTTAATAAGTACTGACAAGATTGACATGGTTAATGCCCACAGTACCGGTCAAAGGTTTGAATGAGAAGGTGTGTCCAAACTTATTTACTGGTGCTGTTCATGTTTTGCTGCATTAAAGTCCTCATTTAAAAAAAGCCACGGTGATCTGCTGGCCGTGCTCTTTGCCTGGATGCATGAGGCAGTGTTGGATTGTTTGATGTTACCGGCTGAGCAGGATGTTGTAGTTCTCATGAGGGATGATTGTGTGCGCCATCCGGGCCGTCGAGCCCTCCTCGCTCGTCTTCAGGCTGTGTTTACCCAGCTCCACTCTGTAGTTGTCCCGGACGCTGTGGGATGTCGGATGACCCCGGGTTCAAACATTAGCATTGACTTTTTTGGCCTTTGTGTACAATACTGCGATTAAGCAGATGGAGGATGTTGTAGCTGATGATCGTCCTGTTAAGGTAACGCATGTTTGAATAGGACACCAAGCTGCTTTTAACTGGTTAAAGAAGCTCCATATAAGGGAGTTAATAACGAAGACACGCCGAGGTGGGAAGGATCTTGTACTGTGTGGATTCCTTGTTTAAGAACAGTGCACGTGTGACCGATCTACTAGTTATAGTGCATACAATAGATAAAATGTAACCTGCAAGTCCTCAAGTTTTAATGACTATATTGAATGTATATTGTAGTTTGAGCATTTCTGAGTAGAGGTGAAGGGGTTGTTGAGCCTTTGCAAAAAGAACACGGTGTATTGTAATTGTGATTTTTTTTTTTTTAAGGACTACCTCCCCTGAGGTGTGTGGACTTTAACATACTCGATGCAGTGTGCCGCGGTGAGGACCCAGTCAGCAGAGATGAGGGTGCCTCCACACACGTGCCTCCAGCGCCCACTGCTGTCCGACTGGAGCGAGATCTGAGGGACGACACCTTTACACATTTCTCACTATTCAATTTCAACCGGCACCCCTTGTTGGCGCTTTGGCGGAGAATTCACTATCAGGATTGAATTAAACATTCAACCACTAGTGTAAAGTAAGTAAACGTGTGAACGCAGGTGTCATTTTGTCCGTCCATCGTGTTGCTGATCCGTGTTCGTCACAGTCAGCGCGTCTTTACACATTTAGACCGGACCTCACCTGCCAGGGCCAGCTGTGAGGCCGGGCGTCCTCTCCTGCCACCACCCGACTCAGCGCCGGAGGGAAGGTGGGACGGCCGCATCCATAAGCTGGCAAGTAATGCATATTGTGATTTCTATTGCACCAGACTAAACATAAAAAAGTAGGTAATCTCTCGGTAGGTAAGTTCATCAAACCTTGAACAATAAGCAATTTATCAAATATAATGTGATAATTAGTATTCTTTGTAAGCGAAAGTACAATACAACAAATGAGCATTAAATAACTTGACGATTTAAGCTGCCTTACCGCCAGCGACCAGAAAAGCCAGAACCACTAGCGCCGTCATGACTGTACGACACGAGCAGCGTGAGCCTTAATCTTGTGTTGACAACCGGCTCTTATTTATACTGCTACTTTGCACCCGTGTACAGACTGTCCCGGGTCAGCCTGCTCCAACAGCCTGAGAACACAGCATGTGGTTGTTTCCCATCGGTACTTCAACATTTCTATCCTTTTATGCTGGTTAATAATCCAACTAAATAAATGATACATTCATGAAAATAAAACACAACGTCTTTTTTTTCTTTACAATTCCACATTTTGTTTATTTTGTATGTGCATTGATCCCTTGAGCCTGCTCCCTCAATAGGCCACCATATTCTGTGGAAGAGAGGATAGAGACACGTTATATTTTTCACCATCATGTTTTCAGGATGTTTTATTTGAATTGTCCCAGATTTCTGACAATTACATCTGAGAGAAATGAGCCCAAATCAATGCGCAGTGATGTGGTGAGCGGCTCAGGAGCTTACAGAGCTGATCCAGTCGATGTAGGAGCTGACTTGGGTGAAGACGGTGGGCTTCTTGGCGAAATTGCAGCTGAGACCGGAACCGAAGCTGACGATGCCGTGGACCTCCCAGGCGCCGTCGGCGTTCTGGCAGTTCAGAGGGCCGCCGGAGTCCCCCTGAGTCACGTGAGAACAGCATCCTTTTATATTTTGTTGACCTTCTAAACTTATCCCCTGAAATACTTAATGTTATTCAGAAAAAAGCAATTTTAGCAGAGGCAGTTTTCAGATTGTTTGGGGTTAATAACAGAGTATCCGCTGGAGAGTCTCATTCAGAAGACTAATGGGGAAAGGGAAGGAACACTTGCTGCCATTATTGATCAGTCCATAGATTTCCTCTATTAATCAATCATCAAAAGGAAAACTAACTCTGCGTAAGGCATCACAGTGTTGGTGCTACATGTGTCATCTGTTAGACGTTCCATACTCACGTTGCAGCCGGACACGACTCCATCTCCACCGGCACAGACCATGGTGTCCTTCACCTGAGCACCCCACCAGTCGGGCTTGGTGCAGGTGGCGTGGTCCACCACGGGCAGGAGGGCCTGCTGCAGAATGTCAGCAATGGGACCTCCGGCTGTGTGGAGGAGAGAAGTGTACTGGCTCAAGGTAAAAGACGAATACATTAACCGGACACATGTTTCACCAGACCGTTGCTTCGATTAAACACTTTGTGTTTGTATGGTGTTCATTTTTTTTTTGTGACACCATCACGCAAAGCTGACATTATAAGTTGATTGATTAGGTGAAATATTTTTATCAAAGGTTATGCACGCACTGTAGAGGCGGCCCCATCCAGTGACGTAGCAGGCCTCGTTGTTGGGGAGGAGGAAGCCAGCAGAAGGCAGACAAGCAGCCATGATGCTGTCAGAGAAGGTGACGGGGGACTCCAGCTTGATCAGGGCGATGTCATTACTGGAGAGCAAACGCACATTCAGATTCGTCAAAGACCAGCAAACGTCCTCCGAAGAGAGAAGTCTTTTTTTTTTTTTTTTACCGGATGAAGAAAGGGTTCCATTTCTCGTGAACAACAATATTAGCGGTGCCCATGAACACGTCACTCTCCTCTGTCTGTACCAGGCTGTGCTTTCCCAAGGCCACTCTGTACTCCTTGTTATTGCTGCAAATTGAAAGAGAAAATTGAAAGAAAGAATATGAAGCAGTGATTATTTAGCTCAGAGATCCTCCTTGAGTCAAGCTTAAAAAAAAACACCACAAGTTTCCAACCAGGTTTTGTGCATTCTGGAAATACGGTTCTCTAACAATCAACTTTTATATCCAAGACACATGATAGTGGGCCGAAATAATTCCATAATCAGCTTGCAATCTCCTGGAAAAAGTGTCCTTTGGTCACTTGATAATTGGAATCTCTTAATTTAAGTAAAAATGTATTGCAAAAAGATTAAATCACCTCAGAGTTTCTCATGATTTCCTACAGCGTGATCAATGTCTGTTGCTCATATAGATGCGAGTGCTGCATTGAGTCTTGATTGACTTGTTTAATACCTGATACAGTGAGCAGCGGTGAGGACCCACTGGTTGGAGATCAGAGTACCTCCACACGTGTGTCTCCATTCGCCCTCTCGGTTGTACTGCAGGGAAATCTAAAACAAACCATTTTAACACTTATTCTTTACAGACACATATGCAGTTTGTTTTTCCAATATCGAATACACCCTCACTCAAGCCACAATTAGTTGTTCAAATAATTTCATTGGAATTTAACTGATTACATTTGATTTCATTAAGATTCTTTTTATTATCAGTGTGCTCGTGAATTTGAAATAGCCCATGTGTTTGAAAGAATATCTACATACACTCCAAAGCCTCCTTTAAAATCCAACATTGCTTGATATAAAGAGTCTTTTAACATACTGTCCTGTATATCTAAACTATCATCCTCTACTTCTCCGCTGATGTGCAAGGTGTACCTGCCAAGGCCAGCTGTTAGGCCTGACATCTTCTCCTCCAACCACCCTGGTCACCACAGGGGGGAAGGTGGGCAGGCCGCACCCGTAGGCTGAAACGGAGACGGAAACTTTCCTAAAGTAACTTTTTATCTGCAATCCGGCTTCAAAGATTGCTGCATTAGAAGGTTTGTGTGTGTGTGTGAGAAAGATTCTTACCACCAGCGACAAAGAGCGCAAAAACAACAAACTTCATCATGGCTGTACCTCCAGCCTTTGCAAGGAAACTTCTGACGTATTTATACCTTTCATGCCGTTATGCAACCGGCGAAACTGGACCACATTCCGGGAAATGTTCTTTTACCTAATCTAAATGCTGGGGTGGAGCTACGTGGACATCGAAGCAGCCAGAAATGACCAGAATCACCTCTCCTGGAGTTATGTGTCATTTGGAATTAACTTTTTGTAGCTTTTTATCTTCTCAAGGCTGGAATTAAAGAGCCTTTCTTCATATCAAATATAGCCCCTCGCGGGCTGATCTCCTTGAGTAGCTGAAGTTTACATGGCTCATGAAAGGAATGAACGTTTACCGTGAGCGTAGTGTAGTAATTATTAGAGTATGTAAAACTTGCATACGTCCATAAAAAAAAAAAACCTAAGGATCGATTATGGTTAGAATACTTTCTCACAAGGCAGAGCATACCACATGTGTCAATAGATGTATAGGTAACTCTAGTAATGCCATTTACAAAACAATCATGTTTTATTATTTGCAGTGTTTTATAATGACATTAAAACTCAGTTTTATTGCTGTTCTTTGAGATGTCTGATATTATTATACAACCCTTAAACTGACCCCTGAGCCTTATCGTCTGTTTAAAGTAAATATATATATATATATATATATATATATATATTTATTCATGGATACAACTACGACAGCCCTTTTAATGTCTTTGGTAACATTTTAAAATGAGCCTATAGACACACAGCGTGAACATCATCTGTTCCCGACCAACTCGGGTCACAGTGAGACACCTGTGAGGTTCGCACAGATGTTGAGTTGAGGAGATAAGGTGTATTTGTGGATATCTGCGGTTACTTATCTCCAAGGTTGATTTGTTTTTCCTCCCTGGCATATGTTAAGCAACGGGTCTGTTCACGTGGTATATAAGGAGGAGCATGCCCCCCCCTGAGCTTCCACTGAAGAAAGTCACAATGAAGTTGGTGATCTTGGCTTTGTTTGTCGCTGGTGGTAAGCTGACACTGTTTTGACCAAGCAGTGAAATGCGTAACTTCATACAACTGCCCACGTTCTTTTTTTTTTTTTTTCCATCTATTTTACGGTCTATACATTTTAAGAGAAGCAATGTGTTTAGCAGATTCCCCTTTCATCCTCATGCCAATAATCAGATTTGACACATTTGACGGTTAGAGAATAACTTGCACGTTACTCTTAAAACTGCATCTGAAACCCGTCTTTTGTGCCGTTGTGTCTCAGCCTACGGGTGCGGCCTTCCCACCTTCCCCCCCACCATCACCAGAGTGGTCGGAGGAGATGACGTCCGTGAGAACAGCTGGCCCTGGCAGGTTCGCCCCCTTTAAGAATTCTCTGGATTGTCTTCCGTCTGTGCCCTGAAGACAGGAAAAACACGCCAGCGCTTGTTCCCCTCAGGTGTCTCTGCAGTACAAGAGTGGAAGCAGCTACTACCACACGTGCGGTGGCACCCTGATCTCCAACCAGTGGGTCCTCACTGCTGCTCACTGCATCGGGTACGTTTAAAAAAGAAGGAGGTATCCGAGGCGCGGAGAACAGAGCGAGGCAGGCCCATGGTGGACGGGGCGGTGGAGGTAGAAGAATAAGTTTGGATGCTTCACTCTGGCAGTCTGATACTTGAGATACACAGTTGGCGTAACAATGTAGCTCAGTCTAGAAACCGAAGAAAAAAAGTACACCTAAATCCCACTTTTTCACCACTGTTATATTATAAATTTCAACATGAATTTATATTATATATTGACGGTGTGAGTTACTTTGGGGGTCCAATAAATTAGTTCTTGAATGGATGCCCAATCAAATCAACTCTGACCCTTGTTTGTGTGTGTTCTCACCGAGCAGCAATCGCGACTACAGAGTGTACCTGGGAAAACACAACCTGAACACCAACAACGAGGCCGGTTCCCTCGCCATCAGCCCCGCCAAGATCGTTGTCCACGAGAACTGGGACTCCTTCAGAATCCGGTGGGCTCCGTCGCCTCACTCCACCTTCTGGTCTTTATATTATGCCGGCGTGACTGTCCTGTGCTCTCAAGTGTTGCTGTTGTTGATGCTCATACCGGTTCTTTTAAATGCGGCGTGTCTCGTGCCACAGCAACGACATCGCCCTCATCAAGCTGTCGACTCCCGTCAACTTCTCCAACTCCATCATGGCTGCCTGTCTTCCCAACTCTGGTGACATCCTGGCCAACAGAGCTCCCTGCTACGTCACCGGCTGGGGTCGCCTCTGGAGTAAGTCCTGTCCTCTTTTTTTAAATTTTTTTAAAAGAAGCCGCCATCAAAGGCCGGCAACATTGATGACCTCTTATATCTTGAATTGTTAAATCAACCTCAAAAGTGTGTGAGTGATATGATTGTACCTTTTCTTCTCATTTGACTTTGACTTTCAATGGGCTTGAATGTGAAGAGGGCTGTGGAGGTTTCCACCACACTAACCCCCCCCCCACATAAATGTTACACCTTTTAAGGAATTGCACCCCATTTCTTACATTGTGGGTATGGGAGAGTTCTTTTTGGAAAATTAGTCAAAAGGCCTTTTAAGGAGCCTTGGTTTTTCCCCCCCTCGGGGGGAAAACTGGGGTGAGGGTTCCTAGCTTGGAAAAAGACGGCAGGCCTGACTCTAAAGGCCCCCCCCCCCCCCCCCAAAGCTGGAGGTCCCATCGCCGACATCCTGCAGCAGGCCCTCCTCCCTGTGGTCGACCACGCCACCTGCACCAGGTCTGACTGGTGGGGCAGCCTGGTCACCAGCAGCATGGTCTGTGCTGGAGGAGACGGACAGCTGGCCAGCTGCAACGTGAGTCCCTTCCATTTCACAAACTACTGTCATGTTTTCAACAACATCCTTTCACTAAAAACACGTCTTTAAATCCTACTAAAGCCTTTTACATCTTTTCATCTCCATTTCCCCTCAGGGAGACTCCGGCGGCCCCCTGAACTGTCCGAGCCCTGATGGTTCCTGGGAGGTCCACGGCGTGGTGAGCTTTGGCTCCAGCATGGGCTGCAACTACGCTAAGAAGCCCTCTGTCTTCACCCGCGTCAGCGCCTACATCCCCTGGATCAACAACGTGAGTATAAAAGGATTGGACAGTACTGAACAGTAATGAATGATACACTTTTTACATTTTTTGACTGCCTTTAGGGTCAAGTCAGAAAGCAGAAATAGCTACTTACAAGACAGATCTTTTGTTTTTGCTTATTACATGACTATTGATAGGGGATGGAATACCGAGGAAATTGATTATTTTCTTTTTACAAGAGCAGAAAAAGTACACATTATAAAGTACAGAAATGATCTCAAGTTCAATTTATTGTTATTCGAGAGCTCAGGAGATTTGGGTGATAATCAAAGATCAAGAAGAACAGGTGCTCTAGTTCCATCTAGTGGAGCATTTTAAAATATTCTCTTTATGCTTTCTTTTTTCCAGGTGATGGCCAATAACTAAGATGTTGTTGTGTTGTTGGTTGTTGCACTTGTTGCACACTAAATAAAGAATGTTCACTCTTTATCTAACATCAAGATGGAATTGTGTTGTTTGTTTTCTACATTTTGGATTTCAACTAGCCATATGTTATCAAAGTTCCAATGCCTTTTATGCAGAAGTTAGTACTTAGGCATAACAGTAAACTAACACACAAACAAATAGTTTTAAACTCATCATTCATGCTATTGAGTATCAAGGGAACCTTTTCTTGTGTCATGGGCAGAATTTAAAATGTTGCTTTGCTTTGACGCCCTGTTCCTTTCCTACCTCTATGATGGAGAGGTACATTCGGAACACATTATTACCGGTGTATTGAAATCGTGCCGTGTATCTTTGATTGAATCCATGTATTAACAAACTAAACACATTACCACGCATAGACAACTGGTATTGCGTTGACCACAGGTGTCCACTAGATGTCGCTGTAGCAGTGGGAGGCAGTAATATCCAAGAGTTTGGAAGTAAAACGAGAGCGTTATTCTCCTGTCTGAACCAGGGAGGCCAGGTTTTTTGTTTTTGAGTGATATAGGTAAGTTAAAAATATTTAAGATTTTGCAACGTCATGGTTAAAGTAATCTTTTACATAATTCGTTGAGGATTCAAGCCAAACTCCGAAGTGAAACAAGCTAAATTGAGCTATAAGCTAAATTGAGCTCCGGTTTCTTTAATATAATGGAACAGTAAAATAACCTAAAACACATACAATATTTATACTTTATATAGTCATAGGGTCATGTCAAGATTGCACCTAGAAATATGCAAACCTTTGAATGAATCGAATTTATAAGAGATTGAAATTAAGGCGTTTATTGTGTTGTGTTTTCTTTTAAGATGTCTTTCCCTGTACAGTAATGCAGTGAAACCACTTCAACTTCTTCAAATTCATAGTCAGCAACATTTTCATTTGAAACCAATTGTGCTTCTGAGCAAACCTAATAAAGGAATTGATTTATCAAAATAGTTCGACCTAATAACTACAATACAAGCCATCTAAATAAACTTCAATTGACGAACGAGGAATCGGTCGCCATCTTGGATTACACCTTGTTTGTGGACTAAATTGTGGCGTTGAGAGCGCACCTGTCCTCCAGACTGCATATCATAAAAGTACCGCTGAAAGGTTTACCTGACCTCCAAAAGGTTTGTTTTTTCCGGTTTATTGACTCCCCTATCACCAGATGTCTGTAATGAAAGCTTCTTTGTAATTTCCACCAGTAAACGGAAAGCTCGACGTTAGCTAACGTTACATGTTTGAACTTTGACTGCTGACCCATTAGCAGGTCTGGTAGCTAGCTAACTGTTAGCGTTAGCTTGGAAAAGGTGCTGACTAATTATACAACGCTAGGGAGCTTCCGGTGATGCTGTTGTCCTTGAGCTTTACAACGTTGAATTTATAGATTTCTTTGAGTTTGTAGTCATTTTCTTATATGCTGAATGGTGCATTCGGGATTTAACGTTATATGAACCCAAACAACGATCTTTTCCTACAACTAAAGCTAACAAGGTAACTTAGGTTTGGAGCAAATAAAGGGCTTTTTCAGGCAGAAAGACAAACTTCTCCTTCGACGCAACGTCATGCGCAAGTAAAGATGCATCAACACAATCCAAGCAGCATCTCCGCAGTTCCCTTAAAAATAACTATTTTGGCATTCGTACAGATTTTTCCAATGTATGTTATTGTTGACATGTAGTTATTTGAAAGTTAGATGTCTTTAGGTTATTTACTTCTTTATATCGGAGACAACACGTCTAAATTAACGTTACTTGACCGTTTACCTGCAGGGCCACGCTGCTCCCGCTGCGGCATTCACACAACATGACGCCCCAACGCACATTTTATTCGGTGAGTAAAACAAACACCCCAGTGGAATGTATTCCCTCTCATTATTCTGTTATCTAGGGGTGTGATATTATTTTTTTGAAGGCACCAATTTGCTCATTAATGTAGGATAAACCCCCTAAAGTACATTTGCCAGTGTGTTTGTGTCAGTTTTTGCAGGTTTCTTTGCAAATCAAAGAGCAGGGAATGAATACTTGACTATAAAAAGTTAAGGAGGATTAGGATTTTTAAAAAGCACGCTAGAGATGGGAAAGTGTACTATTTTCAGACTAGATGAATTTCTAATCATGATCATTTTCTAAACCAAAATAGACTAGTGTCCACTGGGAACTGACTCACAAAAGATGAAGAGAAACCATAGCCATTTTCTGCTTTACGGGTTCTTTAGAACCTCAATTACTGTGCTGCCTTTTTCCTGGACAGATCTCATTTATAACAAGGATGTTCCACAGTAATTATTAACAGGGAGGCATGGGGCCTCTATTTAGCTCCCAGGGCTCATTTGCATGTTAATTATCATTAGCAAACAGGAAAATAAGTAACTGGTTTTAATATTTAACCTCATCTGTCTCCTCCCAATATTTTCAAATGACTTCCATTGTGGTTTTACTTGATCAACTCAATCCCTAGAAAAACAGTATGAAACAAGTATCACTTCAAGCTTGTATTGTAATAGAAAATAAATAGTTATGTACAAGTGACTTAATGCTTTCAGGTTGTGAATGAAATATATTAGTCACATCATCAATTGTTTTTCCAGCGAGGCTTTGACGAGTCACCTGAACTTCTGTTTAAAAAAGTGATTGAGTAGAAGGTTAGAGGACACGCTGTAACTCTGAAATAATACCATTATTAATGAACTATTTAAACAGAAAGACTGGTAATACGAGTTATATGCAGTATATTAAGCTCTGGGTAGATTGGAGAACAATCTGCTGTACGGTTGCACACGTAGTGGAGTTTATGCAAAGCACAACTTAAAGTTCAACCTTGACACACTTGTTGCTGACATTTCACAGAGCATCATTTGTATGTAATCTACATATATGTGAATATTTGCACGTTGTGTTCGTGGCACATACAATGAGTCCTTTTACTGAGTAGCAGCAGGAGTGTGATGGACAGTCGAACGGTGTTGTTAAAATGATTTCCTTTGCCACAAGATGGAGACAGATTACTACTTAGAAAAGGCTGCTTTACGTTTGTATTGTCCTATTAAGAGGCACTTTATTAATTTGCCTTAAACTTAACAGAATGACACATAATAGCATTTGGTAAATGTTTGGACTGTATATTTTTAACCACTACACATTACTTAAAATAATAACGCCCAGGTTCAGATATTCATTTTTAAATGTGATGTACTACATATCAGGGATGAAGCCGTCTCGTTAATCAGAATCACTTAACCATTGACTGACAACCATGAAGTAATTTTGGGTAGTTTTATGTAAAATACTGCCGCTTTGTATTTTGCTCTTCATATTAGAACTGGAGTTACTTAATTTGAAGCCAAAGTCAGTCAATCAACTGCGATGTCCTTTGGTAAAGAAAAGCAAACAAACGCAGAACGTCACTGGTTGTACCGGTGACTTGGGTTGTCACGATACCAAAATTATGACTTCAATACTATGCCTGCCAAAATATTACGGTACCCGATACTACCACAAATACAATACTAGAATATTTATCTATAATAGTAATAAATAAAATATCTGTATGGTTCCCTTTTTTACCTGACATCTGTTTGACTGTCTGTGGGATAAACAATGCTTCATTTAGTGCATATTCTCACATTCATATTTTCTTAACAAAAATAAAAATTAGGTCAAGATCCACCTTCAGGCTCCACCAGCATGTAGTCTATTGCTTTAAGTGTGTATTATTTGGTACAATTTTGTGTGCATTCTAACTTCATTATCATATAGGCCCACATGAGTGGAATTTAATTGTTATTTTGCATGTATATATTTCTGATGGACTATTCAGTAACTTATTTGCGGTCTTGCTTTGTCTTGTGTGGCACTTAATTGATGTTTGACTGTTAGGAAAGTTGTTGTCAAGCTAGCCAACAAAGCTACAGGGCTGCCAACTCTCAGTTTCCCCGTGTGACATACGCGTTTGCATGTTTTCACACGCGCTCACGCCACACATCCCATTTCTTACACTAAAAAAAAATCTGGGCCGGTTCATCTCCATCCTCGCCGACGGTAAACGGCGCATCTGTAACCCGAAATTCGCTGCACGTAGCGTAACTTACACCCCCGTCGACCGTAGCGTTCACCCGCGACAACATCCCACTCCAAGGGTTAGTGAAAAGTTGGCAGCTTCGTACCTCACAACAACATTACAAAGAAGCCGATGCGAGAGCACTTAATACTAGCATCAATGTCCAAGTGTGTTATAAGAAGCTTGCTAACAGCGCTAACAAGATGTCTTGCCAGCGGCTAAATTTACTTTGTTTATGACATACTAGCAAGTCAACAATTTTCCAAACACAGTCAAACATCAAGTGTAACACAAGACAAAGCAGACGTCCTCTTTTACCCGGACATTTCCTCTATTCGACCTAAAAAATGCGTCCGGGTTAAAGAGAACGTCTGGTCACCTGAGCTAAGCTAGGCTAAGGCTACTCGTGTTGGGCTGTATGTTGGTGATTAGTCACATGCACACACTACCAGAAAATGTATTTATTTGACAGAAACACAAGCGTCTGCTGGGTTGAACATATTTCCTCTGACATGCTTCGCGCCACAGCAGGTGTGAGCCTTTCAGTCGCATGCACTTATTACCCAAAGCAGTAATAATGAACAAATGTAACCTTTCAACCTCCCATGTGCAGCGATGACATGTTTTGGGCACCCTGTATAACTCCTGGACGTGTCTCTCTGACCCTCGCCCATCTGTGACTAGGTCCAGGGTTAGAAGGCTTCCAAATGCTACACATGCTGTTGTGGGCCTCGGGGTGTGGGAAAAATGTTTTGGGTGTGAGATGGATGCTGTGATGAGCACTGAGGATTGAGGGTGGACATTTGATCAACGTGTGCACCTTTCAAGTTCACACACAGTTGAACAAACTCCCCATTCAATCTATCTGATCTGGCTTTTACAACTCCAGACGTTCCTTCATCTACATTTCTGTTCAGCATTAAAGAGAGAAAAAAAAGTAGTTTCATGTATTAAGTGCTCCCCAAC